TTCCAAGAATTTTGATTGTATTTTTTTTGTCGTCCCATTTTTAAACGAAGATAAATATTTTATGTCTTTTAGTAAATACAATAAATTGTGATTTCTCCGACGATAAATTGAAACCAGAAGTTTTTGACCATTCTATGAAGTTTTTGGTTGTATTTTGTAACATATTTTTAACAGTTTTTAAATTGCGATAACTACAATAAAAATTAAAATCGTCAGCMTATAAAGTCGCTTTAAATGGTAATTCTATATTATTAGTAACGCCGTTGATGGCTATTCGGATAATGTAGGGTACAGTAACGAACCCTGAACTTAAYAATAATATATTAATCAAGTTTATGTGTATTATATTTTTATATTATATTTGGAATTAACAAAGAATGTAATAACTGAACTGAAATTCAATTTGATAGTCCTTTGTATTGAAAGTTAAAACAAGATTAATATCATCAAAAAATAAGTTTTTTAGTTTTTACATTTATTGGATGTTATTAAATTAAAACATTAGCTATTTTAAAAGTTCAAAATTTCGTCTACAGAAATATCAAGTTTTAACTATTCTAAAATTTGATAATAATTTTAGCTTGATATAGGTCTTCATAACAGAGTGTGATTTACTTTAAAAAATAGTATTATTGTGTTAGGACACCTAAAATGTGTCAAAGTACATCATTTTTAAGAGAGCGTCATAATCCATATAAATATTTATTTAAAATGATATAAGTACATGTAATTGTACATAGCTTAGTATTTTTATAATATCTATCTTTACCAAGTGTAGTACAAAAGTGAAAATTATAACTAATTTGATTTGGCAAAATACCGGAATTATCTGTTAGGTAATTGTTTAGGTTGATTTATTGATCGTAAACCGATGAAAATTACAWAATACGATTAAACACATTTTATCGAATATAATATTATAATTTTTTTTGTCTGATGGAAACATTATTATATTAATTATTGAWACATTATTATTAGGCTAATAAAAGATAGGCGTATAAAAGATTTTAGTTTATAAATGCATGATAAATTGATAACAATTAAAAATATGCTACTACYCATTTTATATAAATAAAGTTGTATATATTATTTTCATACATCGACAATGGCAAGAAATTWAAAATACATAAGAATGCTGTCGGTAACACGTTTTGAAAAAATGTCACTGAAACAGTTAAGTGATTTTCGTTATGAATTTTTCATATCTAAATGTACTAGTGACTGTCAAAAGCACGTTTTGGCACACAAGACTATATTTAATTGGTTAAAATATGGTCTTAGATTAGATTGAAACTTGGTTTAAGTTAAAAAATCAATTTTTTTTTTATTTTTGATTCTGAACGGAGCGATGAATGATTTGATTTAACAAATACATGTTTTTTTGTGTATAATTATCAACACCTTTTATGGCAGTAAAAATACTTCAATATTCTATTTCCATATTTTACTGTTTGGAAAGATTCAAAGATAATCTAGTTGGTATTTTATGAAGTCATAATTAAAAAATTCTCAAAAGTTTTCAAAAGTGTTGAAAAACAAAATTATGGATATACAGAGATTTAACGCAAAACTAGTTTTCGACAAAATCGATTTTTGGTGTAATTTTAAATTAATAGATACTACAGTTATTATTTATGMATTTATGTATTTATTTCATTGAATGTCTAYAATACCATTTTTTATAGGTACACCTTATAATTTTAATACATTTTGACGCTTTTTGAGCCATTTATGTGCATAAAAGAAATAAGTTTTTTTTAAACTATTGTCGACAGAAATTATTTGGTTTAACTTGAAAGTTTAACACGAAGTTCTTCAAAAGTGGATCTACTAAATATTAAATTATTTAAATAAATCGTTATAATCATTGTGCAAATGATAATATGTTATCGAATGTTATGGAAAATTTTTAAGGAAATCGTATCAATTTATAAAATTATGTTTTGTGATGTATTGAATAAATTCATTCCAACCACAGTTTATTGTACTATATGAATGAACTCTTGATGGTTACCGAATATAAAATAAAAATCTGATGTGTAAAGGCGAGCCATTCAWGGTGGATATTTAGGTGCATACTTAGATATTTGATACGTACCTACGTCTTGATACTTAATATCAATATCATTATAAAATAGATACCWAGTAAATTGATATTGATGGTTAAAATAATGTTGATAGTTCGATACATTGTCTTGTAACAATGAAAATAACATGATGCATTAGCAATACATAAATATAAAAGGTTATAATTATTGAATTATCTCTTATTAAAGGTAATCGACTTGTATCATAATCAATGTCAAGTTTAAATTAAAAATATATCTTATACAAACGATRACATATAGTAATTAGGATAGTTTATCTAGGTAATAAAGATAAAATATAAATACATTATTTTAAAATTAAAAAAATAGAGTAAAATGAATTTTAAACCAAAATGTTCTACATGAAAAAGTAGACTTCTAAAAACAAAAAATATTGTTCCCATGGAAATAATCTATTTTGGTTTATCCTTTCCAAGTATTTTCAAGATTTATTTCTATTTTTATTTTTTGTTAATGTCTGTGTTAAAATTAATATTAATCTTTTAAATACATATAATAAGACCTATGGCCATTAATACATAGGTAGTTATAATAAAAATAACTGTGGTTGGTTATCCTAGGTATTTTTAAAGTAGGTCCTGTTTAAGTTTGGTTAAAATAGGTAGGGAACACGAAATATAATTTAAAAGAGTGTGAAATAATACATTAATAATATATTATAGTAATTGCACTTACTGTAATTTTGATTTCTGTAAGAATAACCTATGAGAAACTTTRTCTAAATTTTCAAGTTTTAGCTTTTAAAACCGAAAGTTTGATAAATTTTTAATTACAAAATAAATTATTTATGTTCTTGGCTTTACATAATATGGCGTTTATAACAATAGGCAAAAACTGGTTAGGTTAGGTTATTGGTAGGTCACTGTGTATAAATCTGGCTCTTATGTTAGTATACAGAGCGATTAAAGTTAAAACATATTTGAAAAAAGATTATTTTTTTATAATTTATTTTATCTACCATATAATGTTATAATGGTAAATCCATGAATAATAATAATAATTTATTTAATTATTATACTTTTTATCCTATTTTTTTTTTTTACTTATATAGTAGATATTTTTATGTAAATACCCACTTAAAAGTACCTACATTGATGTAAAATCGATATCCAATATGAGTATAAATACATAGCTAGAGTATTTGGTATTTGTTGATTATGCGATGAAAGTTTGAAAAGATCTAAAGATGTTATTGGCCTTACAATGATTATTGATCGTATTTCTGGTAGTTTTGCAATTACAAATCTCAAAAGGTAGCGTAGATTAAAAATGAAACATATGCAAATTGAATTGAACACTTCTCGTCGATCATAAAAAAAAATTTAGTTTGTAAGAATATTTTTTTGGAATAATGGTATTTTTCCTTTTTCGAAAATAGCCTTTACAATTTAAATCAGTTACATTTGAGACTGTAATTAAATTTGTACAGTGGCAGTCCTACGGGGGGGGATGGGTGGATCGCCCCCCCCCTTGGTTAAATATAAAATATAAAACTATTACATGAAATAAATTTTTTTTATGACTTCTACTTATTGTATTTAATGTGAAAAATATTCCCCCTCCCTTGGAATTGGTCAAGGACCGCCACTGCATTTGTACGCCCAAAAATGACCCTCTCCGTTTCACCCGGGTACCCGTTTCGCCTAAATTTTATTTTTATAGGATTTCCGTTTCACCCAGCGTAGTTTAGACCAATTTAAAATTAAGTTGGCAATGATTATAATATTTGAGTATCATTTAGCGTTATTTGAATCTACTTATAAGTTATAATTATTAAACATTACCATATCTTTGTTTCTTTTWCTTTTTAAATAAAATTCGTGATATGTTTACACGTCATGTAACATATACGCACTACGATCAAATCTGATAATCTTTTTTGTTCATTACTTTTATAAGTTTTAAGTATGTAATTTGTTGTATGGTTATGTACTTACCTTTTATATTAGATAAGATAAGCTACGGTGATGATGCAGCGCATTCATAAATTCGTAGGCATCATATTATTTTCGGTGTGCTTTATAGATTTTGATCGATTTCAATTCGATAACGACTGAATTTCTTGTCTGTTATCGATTTGATATATTATCATTTATAAACTATATTTCTTTTGGCTTTATTTTCTTAACTCAATTATCGTAATTTTATTACTAAAGGTTTTATAACGTTCCCTAAAATATAATATTTGACTGAACTATTGCCAACTTAATTTTAAATTGGTTTATACTACTCTGGGCGAAACGGTAATCGTATAAAAACAAAATTTTGGCGAAACGGGTATTCGGGCCAAACGGGGACGGTCGTTTCTGGGCGAAACAGGCTACGCCCATTTGCACCTATGCAATTATTTTGATTTTCGATATGTCATCTTATATTTGATATCGTGTATTAACTTTATTGTTATCATTATAAAAAAATTATTTTACTCTCACGAACTACAAGCATACCTCCATTTATTAAAAAAATGTAATAAATGTTTGATAATATAAATTATAATCAATTATCATACATTTTAAGCTTGAAATCAAAACAATAAAACTTAATACAACTAAATGTTAAAATTATTATTTTCGATACATCATACACCATAAATCATTTTCAATAAAATGCATCTGATAAATAATTAAAAGTGCTTGAACCTTAAAAGTCATTTAATAATTTTACTTACCGTTACTACAGCCAATGGAATTTCTGTCATTAAGAAAACCGTCACTACGACAATGAGCATCAATGTTGTGCAATTAGAATCTCTTAGGCGTTTGCATTCGTTCTTTCTGTTCTCTTTGAATAATTTGTCTCTTTTTAATTGCGCATCTCTCATAGCCCTGAAACAGTAATGAGAAACAGTATAATTGTGTGTTGGATTATTACTGAAAATGTACTGCATCGTTTTGAATGAAATAAACCATTTTAGTTTAGAGTTTTTTWAAATTAAAATAGCATATATTATACGGTTATTAATTATTATTTTATACAATTMCGTTTTATGAATAAATAATTATATTACATACAAGAACAGGAAAAATATTGTTCTAACATTTTCGTTTATGAAAAGGTAACGTAACTGGTAAATTTGTTCTAATAACTAGATACCTGCTATAGAAAGTAGAAACCTATAATGAATATCAAATTAACATTTTTGATTTAGTTGATAAATTATTATTAAAAATAAAAGTAATATTGAATAACTATATATTCGAAAGAATCTGCAAGAAACCATTTTAAAAAATGTAGCTGTAGTTTAATTTTCGACAGGTGTTAAATTGTGAAATTTAATTGTTTTAGTTTCAGTGAGTGAAATAGTAAAATTGAAATTCATTATAAGTTGAATAGATTACTATTATAAGTGGATCACTGGTGGTTTTCGTTTTGTAAATTTGTGTTTTATTGTATAAAATTGTAACGAGATTATTGTCGTATTTAAAACACTCGATTTTATTTTTTTTATTATATTTTAACAATATGGTTTATTATATTCTTTATGTATAGTTTTAGAGTTTACATTGTTTGTATAACAGATTATGCTTAAATGTTTTTATTTTCATCAATGAATTTGAAATGTTATCAATGGCCATACGGTAATGGACATGAGATGCTTGGGAGGTAAATAATTTTTTATGCAGTAAAATAAACTTTGTATTGTTAAAAAAGCTACCTAATCATATTAATTTTATAAGATTTATAAGCATATGCGAGTTTAGAATTACATCGTAGGTGTGGTTAATATTGAATACGCAGCTCCTATTGATTGCGTACCTATGTTATACTCTTATTAATTTATTAAATATTGATATTTTTTAAAATTTTTTACCATTCTTAGCTAATAATTAACTTAACTTTTTCTAATAAGTATTGTTAGTTTTTTCTCCTATTACCTTGTATTCTAATGCATTATCAGAATTTATACAATATTGCATAAGTACTCTAGGCATACCCTGAGATGTTAATGTTTACTTAAATAAATAAATAGTATTTCTTTTAGGAATTAACTTATGAAATTACCACTTTTCCATTTTTATAAAAGTTAGTATCGAGTCAATTAATTTAAATTTAAAGGTCTGATTATTGACAGTTATGTATAATATAATGTTTTATACTATAAACTATTTCTGAATAGAAAAAGTAAATATTCATGTTACATGTTTAAAAATTAAAAATTAGAATAAACTACAAAAGGACGATTTTAGATTTTTCAAAGAGATTTAAAGAGTAAGAAAAAATCATGTGAATCAAAATCTTTAAGTGAAATAAAGGCAAGTATCGTTGTTTAATTTAACATTTTTTTTTTTTTTAATGATGTTTGAGTTCTACCAACTTGACATTTTTATACGAGTATCTTACATTGCTTTCGAATTTAATATTAGGTACTATGTATCACGAGCATTAGCTGAATTTATCGAAATAAGATAAATTTATTTATTTTAATTTTAATGTTCACCAAGATATTATAATATTTTTAGTAAAACTATTATTTAAGAATTATGTATTATATATTATCACGATATTCACCAATAAAATACTTATGTGTATATAATCATTTTAAATTGATAATATTTATTATCTACTAATATATATATTTTATTTTTACTCTCTCCACTACAAACAGTTATTTCAAGTAATTTCTATAAAAAAAATTAGAACTTAAAATTAAATTTATCATATTCAACAATGAACAAATCAATGAATTTATTTCAATATTACTATCCGAACCGTTTTGACACAAAGTTTTTTGTGTCAGACGTTAGCTGTACTTAGCTAAGTATACCTGACTGAATTTTGTTCCAAAGTAAGTAGATTCATTTTAGTATTAAATTTTTTTTTCAATAATTTTCAATAAAAAAAAAAAAATATAGCTTAAAAAATTCACGTGGGATCATTTTTTCTACAAAAACTTACCATGTCAAAATCAATCATATTCTATGACCAGTCTTTTTCATCATATACCTATAGATTTAAGTTAATAATTTCGAAAATTTTTATAAATGTTGATGACTTAAATTCAA